GGGCAGTATGCGTGCCAGCGCGAGGAATCGCGTAAATAAATATCTATTAGTTCTTTAAACTGGCTCTAGAAGGAGCGTGAACAACCGTAGGAGGAAAGTCATTTCACGCACCCACTACCCGAAATGAGAAAAAAATTTGTCCAATGAATGTGTGTGCTCTGATCTTGAAAATTTTCTCACTATGTCGCCGCCATGTGTTTGCTGGGTCAACAGTAAAACCCTGTTTGCCAAACTTTGTTCAGACAGGGCATAAGTAAGAATTAGGTCCCCTCGGAGGCGACGGTACTCCAGGAAAAGAGATCAAGCATCGTCAGACGCGTTTCCTAGTCCATGGATTTGAGGCCGGCAACCATTCTTTTGGCGGCCCGCTTGACACGCTCAATGAGGGTGACGTCCTTCTTGCGTCCTGACTAGATAACTTTGTCGGCGTATTCCAGGAGCGGTCTGACGTAGGCCCCATTGAGTATTTGGAAGTCCATGCGAGTAACATGGGAGTAGGTGCGTCCGATCAGCCGTAAAATGGCGAATGCTTTTTGGGCCGATTTCTCACGGTGCAGTGAGAAGGAAAAGTTCGAGGAGACGCAGATGCCCAAATTCTTTTTGGCATGTATCCTCATGATGTTTTCTGGTCCGTTTTCACCATGCAAAACAACGGCATTCGCTGAATCCCCTCCAAACGACATATGGAAGCACTTTTCGTCATTCAGAGGAAGGTGCTAGTCCGACAACCACTGCTTTGCAGTGTCTACGTCCACTTGGAGGGCACTGGCATAGGAACTCCAGAATTTCGAGTCGTCCGCTGCCAGAGCTGAAAAGTAAAACAGCCTTGGTGCAAACACATGGATGACACAACTACACTCATGTATTCACTTAACGTCTTCTCAAATGTTCTGAGGGCTGAAAACAAGACAGCTGCCAGTTCTTCAACAAACGCTTAATGACGGGCTCACAATTTCTTGAGTCATTATCGTGCAGTAGAAAAATTGAATCCATACTAAACCACATTAAAAGCTAAGGTTAGAGGTTCATTCAAACAAATTCCCAAAAGGAAAGTCTGATAAAAAGTGATTTCTGGTTTGAGCATAAAACCATTATTCACGAAAGCCTTCCCTTGAAACAATGGATGTGGATAAACTGCACATCCTGGAAAAGACCGGCACCTCATTGAGCGTGTCCAGCGGGCCGCCACGAAAATGGTTGCCGGCCTCAAATCCGTGGACTACGAAACGCGTCTCGCGATGCTTGATCTCTTTCCCCTGGAGTACCGTCGCCTCCGAGCGGACCTAATTCTTACTTACGCCCTGTTTGAACAAAGCTTGGAAAACAGGTTTTTTACCGTTGACCCAGCAAACACCCGGCGGGGACATAGTAAGAAAATCTTCAAGCTCAGGGCACACACATTCATTAGACAAAACTTTTTTTCATTTCGGGTAGTAGCTGCGTGGAATGACCTTCCTCCGACGGTTGTACACGCTCCTTCTCGAACCCAATTTAAAGCACTATTAGACATTTATTTATGCGAATCCTCGCGCTGGCGAGCATACTGCCCCACGCTGAGAACATAAAGTGCAGTGCTACACCCTTTTTTCACTTGTGCCTTTCAGGTGAACGACAGCCACTGACCGACAAGAACAAAACCGACCCGGGAAACTTGGGCAAAAGCCTCGATCCTGTGTATCAATCCGTGAATCCGTGAATCTCCGCAAAATTCAAACCAAGCGCCTTTGAATGGTGTTAATAACAAGATGATCAGGGTTGTGTCGTCGGTAAAATAGCCCATTCTGTGAGCTTGAGCGAGACTGTCATAGGGTGGTGGAACACGAGTGCGCAAGATTTTCCAAGGTTGTTTTAAATAACTTGCCCGGTACGTTAGTGGATTCGCTTTCGGTTCCGTCCGTTGCGATGGTTAAGCTGTTCGTCGGTAATTTGAACCCTGAGACGAAGGCTGCTGACCTGCGGAAGAAGTTTGAAGCCTACGGTAAGGTCACCGAGTGTGACGTGGTCAACAATTATGGCTTCGTGGTATGTGGGTTTCGTGAATTTCCAACGTTTTAGCATATGGAGAAGGATTCGGATGCAGAAGCTGCGCTCGCTGGCTTGCAAGACAGCATCTTAGATGGAGTGAAGATAAATGTGGAGCGTAGTCACGGTAAGCGAGGTGGACCTGGTCCGATGAGGAGGCGTGAGGGGCGATATCGCGACAATCCCGTTGATCGCCCCCGTGGACCACCCCCTAGATATATGGGTGCTGGCCCGCCACCTCGTATGGGAAGGTATGGGCCTGGTTGGGACGATGGCTACGGAGGCCCCTACGGACCACCGCCACCTCGCGGTGGTCCCAGAGGTAAGGTTTGGTGTGGCTGTTGACTTATTTTCAGGCGGACCAGGATACGACTACCCATCAAATGGGACAGGTGGTCGTTACCCGCCACCGCCCGATCGTCCAGAACCCGTGAGGCCACCGCGGGCACCTGGGCGAGAGCCTTTGCCCCCTCCACCGTCTGCAGGAGGTTATCGTGGACCCCCCATGCCGGATCCCGTCCCTCCACCCCGTGAATATCCACCAAAGGGTGCTCCTCCCCCTCGCCAAAGGTAACCTCGATGATCGTTTGCATCGCCCTTCTTAGGTACGATAACTACGAAAACTACGGTGAGTATGATCGCTATCGCGAACCGGTTGCGGCACCTGCACCCAGGTCCAACGACTACTATGACAACTACGGCAATTACAGTAGTGGTGGAGGGTATGAGTAAGTTGTTCGGTTTTTCGTAAGCCTCGTAGTGATTACAGGGAAGGCGATAGAGCCCCTCCTCCTGGAGGGTATGACGGAGGATACGATTATGGTTACTATGATTATGGTGCAGATAACCGGTCGCCCGCCCCACCACGGTAGGTCTCCTATGTTCGTTACCTAACTGGACGCTTTAGATACGCTTATGGCCGTCCGTAACTAGCGGTGAGTCTGTTTTTCGCGTCGTCTGCGAAGCCCAGTATTATCACGACGTTATTTTTTACTACGAGTGTTCGTATAGAGTGCGTTCAGGAGTTTCAAAGTAACAGTTCATGCTAGTTCTGTCGAATGAAATTAATCGCACCGCGAGCACTTAGTTTTCTTGGTTGCAAGTGTATGTCACATACCGAAACCCCCTTAGGAGTGCAAGTTGGGCCGCCAGTAAACCAGAATGACGACACCGCTTTTGCGCTGACTTCAGGTAGCCTCTTACGGTTGTTTCCCGTCGCCTAGTATGCCCTTCCACGTTTTTCAGATGAAGCACTTATGCATATTCGCAAACTGGTAGTACGAATTGATTTTAGTTCGTTCTGTCCTCAGTGGATCGTGCAACTCGTCTGTCTAGTCGGATGAGATACTGATGCTCTCGATTTTACGTGACTTTTCAGGGCGCCGCGGTACCAGCCGATTGCGAAATAACAAACGTTTGCATTTAATACCCGAACAATTGCGTACCGAACGTTTCCGTTAGCAGCCTCTGTCCAACGCGTCGTCATCTAGGTTTCGTCGCCTTTCCAGTGTCGTCTTCGCACTCGACAGTCGCGCCGTGTTCGCACGTTTGATGTCATTCGTAACAATGCTTTTACAATACACCTTGTGGTTTTCGGTTTGTTTTCCTGCGCCTTAATTGTCCTTCCAAGTCTAAGCGCATCTGGAGGTTCGGGACCTGGTCTCAGCAGCCGGCACTGCCCCCATTGATGTGACATTTTAGCTCCCTTCTTTAAACTGCCGTTATGACCGTCCTTGTAACCCGCTATGTGCCGCCCGAGTTAATGACTCAGAGGCGTTTGTCTTTACTGCTGGGTCTTGTTCACCAGCTTCAGGAATAATCCGGGGATAAAAGTGTGGCAGCACGGTGATCGTCCAGTCGTCGGATACTTTAGATGCTTAACTGACGTGCCGCTTGATAGGAGCATGATCAACAGCCCTCCAAGTTGCCTAATTTGCCCAGATGTGATGAGGACGCCAGGGTTGGCTTCAAATTATGAGTTCCAGTCTGGCACTCCAACCGCAGTCTGGGAACCAGTCATCCAGATGAAAGCTCGAAACGCGAGAAACCATGCAAAGGCCCATCCTTTTACGATGATTGCATCGGCGTCCGCTAACCGTTATTTGGATATATCCTTCAGCTTCTCGGTTACGCATGCATCGGATGACCGATTGCTCGCGGAAATGCGCGTAGCTGTGAACAAAGGTACAGAATTAGTCTCTCTCAGCCGGTATCGAATGACATGGTGTGTCCACCATGCACTTCCGGGTCGAGGCGGAAGTGCCGCATGTAAAGCGGCACTGGTCATTGAACCGTGGCGTAGGTGAGTCAGTTCTCAAAGCTAAAATGTCACCTGCGGTAGCTGGACACCTTTATCACCGACTTTGATTTATTTATCATGATACAGTGGCCGGTGGGGGCGATACATCACAAAGCCAGTGTGATGACAAAATTTCCATCTATTGATCTTCGTCTCCACCGAACGTCTCATCCTGGTTGTTTGGATCACACCCATGCAGGGAATTTGAGTACAGATGAGTAGTGGACGTCAAAATCTAATGAGTTGTGTGAACCCCATGAAGTAGGGGATTACCCGTCCTGCGACGCTAGCTCGGATATGGGACCCGTTTGATGCACAGCTGCCGTGTGACTCCAAAGGAGTTCGGGAACTGAGGTACTGGTAGGTGGCGCATGTCTAGGCAAGCAACGTCGAAAGACCATTGTTGGGTTCGAGTCAGAAGTCCCGTATCTTGCCGAATGCCCCGTGATAATGTCATGTTAGGCGATAAACCCCCCTTGGAACACCCACTGCTGAACACAATGCCCTTGAGCTACCGCATTCTTACTTGTGTTTGAGTAAACCATTACCTCTATCAGCTCGACCAGGACTGCCTGCGAATACCATCTGTCTGATATTGACATAGAATGATGTATCCACTCCGGGTTCTGGTTACCAAGCCGAATTTTGTAAAACTACCCGTCTTCTTGACTGGTTTGCTACTAGGGTACCATTTTTGAGGCCGTATAGAATATCTACTCGCCTGTAAGACCTGTCTGCAGACGAAGAATGACCCAATCACCCGAAATGCTTGATTAATACATTTTACTCAATTATATCACACCTAGATACTCGTGAATCAATCAGTATGGAGCAGCCTTAACAGGGCTTACGATGGTCCCAGTGACCGGCAAAATCGCCCTCGTCAGCCCACGAACTCTCAGGGTTGTAGCGTGCTATCTTTGTCCGTCAACAATGATGTTTATGTTTCGAAGTGTTTTACTCAGAGTAACCGCTTCGGTGTTCAACATCGAAGGCTTTGGAAATTTCTAAACAGTCTACAAGGACCATGACTACTACATCTGGTTGGTTCTCTGATTAACTTAAGGAAAACTCTGGAACGTCAATTGATGTGCGCTGATGTCGAATCGCCACTTGCATCCCGGACAGAATTTTGGACAACGTGGCTGTCTGTCGAAGAAAAATGCTGGTTATAGTTTATCCCGTCACCTGGTGGCGTGCACATGCCGAGGGATGCGACGTGAAATGTTTCTAGGTCTCGTCATGCCGACATCGCCACCACTTGAGGAGATCGAACATTTTCTTCGACACAGCTACGCTGTCCAATCCTGCCCTACAGCTACCCAGTGGCTTTTGTAGAACATTGAAAATCAACGTGTGCATTGGTCCCCATCTATGTAGACTGCGTCTGAAGCTTCCGGCAGCGCTCGTACAAGTAGCAAGGTGTCACTTATCCACCATTCCGGCACATCGCCGTTGTCCCTGGTGTTTTAACGTCGATCTTCAATCAAGTTTATGCAAGTTCACTGTTTGTTTTTGGATGCCACATGAAGCTCGTGGGCTTCGGTTCCCTCGTACGAAAGCATGTGAGCCAAAGTGGTCTAGTGGGGTAAAACAGTTACGCAAGTATAGCGGAACAGACTTTATTGCTGCAACCCCGGTTTGTTGATGCTTGAAAGCAAAAAGAAGGTAAATATGGCTACGTAAAAAAGCTCGAGGCTATTGACAGCTATGCTTTATGTTTGGTAGCTCACCGCAATTATATTATTTACCGACGTCCTAAAAGCACGTTGCTGTACCCAAAACAACGCAACAGTTAAGATAAGTGGTTAGTTTTAGGACAAAACCAGGAATACCCAATCGAACTAGGATTCTCGATCCGGCATTATCATGATCATATTTCAGTCACGTTCTCTGGTAGGAGCGCGGCTACTGCGAGTGTAATTGAGGATATTGGCTTGTGATTGTTGACGTCCGGGGCGCAAAGACAGACGTTAGAACATGAGGTTGGATTAATCCGCGCTGAAGTACCTGGTCACCAGGGTTAAGGGCTGGAGCGTCGTCAGTCTTGCACTGCCGTGCTAGCGATACTGATGGATATGCTTTAATATCTACCAGCTAGATCTGTGCTTTGTAATCGTCTGACTAAGTGGCCTGGAAAACTGCGGATTCCAGGTGGGTATACGTCCTTGAACAATTGAAGGCAATTCACACGCATAAATGGCGTCACAGAATGGAAGCCGTTGCTTTCTATTTGTGATACATTAAACCAACAGAAAAGACTTCCGTCTTCCACCCTCATTTTGAACCCTGTCTACAACTTCTATTCCTCGACACTATAACTTTCCCCGTACTGATCGGCCGAATTGAAGTAAGTGGTGAGTTAACCATAAGTAGTGACTTTCAAATCAAGTTGTTGATGGATATGCTCCGCTAGTTGTCCCGTCAATCTAGGTGGAGTCTGCTTTGTGGCACCTGATCAGTCACTGCATGCTACACGGAAGGCGAGAAGGTAGTCATGTGGGTGTATGAGTCCGTCATTGCCTTCCGCCATGGAGAACTGATTTGCGTTTCACAAAGGGGACCGAATTTTCTCGGGCGTGTAACAACCGACAGTAAACCCTTTGTTTAAACGATTTGGAAGCTCGATATAACGAGTTCTTACACGTGGTACACTGCACTCACGCGGTGGTCAGATCGTTCGCTGAGCTTAACAATTTCTCAGACGTTCCATCAACAGTCGAGGTGACAACAGGATGAATTGATGTCACTGGGGGTGTTGAAGCGCAACTAGTGATGACCTTATCTGGGAACTATCGTGTTGAAATACCTCGTCAAAAGCTGTCTTCAGCATGAGGGAAAGCTCCCATTTCAGAGATCGTGTTTCAGGATATCGCAGCCTAAAATTCTTCAGAAGTGCGTTGCGTCAAATGACTATCAGGAGTATATTTGGTACAGGTTATTGAACATTGTTAGTGGGCAGAGTTGCGATGTCCTCAACGTGAAAAGCGTCAGATTTGCTGGGGGCAACCGAAGTCGACAAGGATTTTGGTACTGTTTTTTTTTTTTTTTTTTTGAAACTGAAATGAAGCGGAACCCTGCCCCTGACGGTAAGTCATCAGGTAGGGGATTATCGGCAGCCGTCTACGGAAAGTTTCGGGCGTTCACTTTTTGGGCGTATAGAATCGGACCTGGGCATGGGAATATCGGTAGACTTGATGTTCTCAGGATGATGGTGGTTCCATGTGTTCGGATTCTAGGTTATTCGCTTGTATTCGTTTCCTGCTGCGGACGAGTCACTTCTGACTATTTGGGTTGGCACCGGTAATATTTCTGAAGAGACACGGACAAGTCGGGTAATTCCTCATAACCACATTGGTTGTCCGCAAGTAGTTTCAAGTCACTTCGAAAGCCGACCAAGTGAATTGCGACACGCTAAATTGGGCGTCATCGTTTCTATGCCACCGCTTGTTGGTCACTGCATCATTTAGCCCATGTGACTAACATGCACCGCCCTCATTTAGCCCTCACTCTGGATTTTATTCATGCATGAACCGAAGTTATAAGGGCTTGTAGAAGCTGACTTGGCTATCTAATACGTCACTAGTAAGGTGATCCTAGTACGTGTATCTGAACTCCCCAAGACGAACAATGAGTTCACGAATGCTAAGATTCGAGTTGTCGGGTTGTTATTTAGGCAGTCTACAGGCACAACACTTAGGAAGCATATCATTTTGGAAAGCCAGACCATCTCGCTTTTGATCAGAGTGTGGAATGGTACAGTTTACACAATGGTACGGATGTGTTCCACTACCAAGCGACTGCCATATAAATTAGGAAGTGCAGTTGTTTCCACACATTGGCTCTTTGCATTGTTGAGCTCTGTTTATCTCGGTGGTTGCCGGCGTCTTTATTCGCTTGTTCCGATTGGTTCCCATAGAATAGAAATACAATAGCTTGGTCCAGGTGTTTCGTGTCAACGGATTCGTTGCGTGGAATTTCGGTAGCCGTCGCTGAATGGTGACTACTAAACACGACTTAGTTGATTGGCTTATTTATCACTTCCACCGTGGAGTGGTGTTGGCCCAGTCTAGCGATATTTCAAGGAACGCGCCAAGCTGGACTAGACAGACCTGCCAGCACCATCATCCAAGCTACGAACATTGCTAACAACCATGATATGCTTGTCAGCGCATCATTATAGGAAGATTCAGTCATTTTCCCCTCGCCTCGCTTAGTCGCTGTGAATTATACTAATCCTCGCGGCTACCTGCATGCATGGTTGCGTGTCTGACATATCTGCCACTTCTGCTGGTGGTGCTGAGCCCAGCGCCTTGGGGGAACAAATCTGGGTCGCGCCCGATGAACTGTTCAAGGTGAACTGAAGATCAAGTTTCATCGATCTGCAGCTCCAGGCAACTGGTAAGTATCAAGCCTTTGGTTTGTATGCCTGGCACTGCGTACCGGTTGCCGTAGCTAACATGAGTTTGTCCTTTAGTAGTTCGAGAACACCACCTTCCTAACGTTCACTGAGCGCTCTGTGAAAACGTGCTCCTTGAGGTCAGGTGCTGTTCATTATGTTTTAACGGATTTATGGTACTCAGTGTACTCTGCGAAAATATGCAGTCGCTTGGGGGCTGATCTTGAAGTTAAACGCTAGGTTCAAGTAAATGTTTTTTTAAATATGCCATCCAACTCTGCGGGCACGAATCATGCAGCTTGCGCCGATAGATCGGTGGCGTTCAGGACTCCGGCTAATGGTTCGTCTCACTATTCCTGGTCCGAGGGTGCCGTGCGTATCACGTTCCGGAATCGACTTTGGTTCTACCGTACTGACATTACATCCCTGTGGCTGCTACCGTGTCGTTTCCTGGTATTCGTTCTTGCTCAGTATCCCAGTTGGTCATCGTAGTCCTAACTTTCGAACTGCAGCTTTTTCCTCTAGCAGACGAAGAAGTTTACGCGCCATTTGCTGGACCAGGTAGTACGTCCGTGGCAGATTCACAAGCTGCCGATTCAACCAA